AGTGTATTTGCTGAAACCCACTTCTAGCTCTGGTCAAACAGAATTTGTATTCTATTGCTTGTTGCTACCTATAATGGGGATCCCTCCAGTTTACTAAATCTCCATGAAAATACACTCCAGATTCATTCTCTTTCCTCTAAATCGCAATGAGGAAGGTGTTTTTGTTTGTTTATTTGTTTGTTTTTTCCCACCCCTAGACCAAGAGTAAAACAAAGGGAAGAATCTAGGACAGTTCAAGAATGGTTTAGCATATCACATGGATCCTGACAAAAAAGAAGAAAGAGTTCTCTGTCCCTGCCAACTACCTAATTTCCTCTCTCTGGTATGGAACAGTGAGATCCAAGAAAAATATTACTTTGAACTAGGCCTATCTTCAGAATAACCCAGTATCCCTCAAAAATTAGAGATTAGATAAAGGCAGAGCAAATGTTAGATTCTTAGATGTGAGATGATAAAACTTTTTCTCAGAACTCTAAAAGTGGAAAGAGTTTTGAGAGGTTCTCTAAGAAGCTCAACAATGAAGATTTTTCTTTTTGTATCAGCCTTAGCTCAGGATCAGTCTCAGCCTGAGCACTCTCAATATATGTTATCTAGGTCTTCTTCTAATTCTTATTGTTGAGGAAAGCAGATGACTGTAAAGTATTTAGACGCAGAAGTGGCATCCACTTCCTAAACAACATACTTCTGGAAATTATAAACTTTGAGAAATGATGATACTTATAGAAAGACTTCAGGCCTTTTGTTCAGAGTCACTGTGAGTCGTTCTTGACTCAACAGCAGTCAGCAAAGGAAGGAATACACAGGCTAGACCTAGCCCTATTCTTTCAACTTTGGAGAATAGTAAAGGGAAATAATACCTGTTTTGTACTTCCCAAAGCACCATGCTATACTCCATCAATAATTTCAGTAAATCCCCACAGTAACTTTGTGAGCAAACTAAAACTCAAAAGACAAATTCACTTGTTCAGAGCCAAGAAATAATTTGCTGAAAGTCAGATTAAAGTCAAAGTCCTTCTGACTCACAGTCTTTTTCTCTCCTTCACTGTCACCTTCTCTTGGTCTCTCCTATCCTCCTTCTCAGTAATATTGCCTGTTTGCAATCTCGTGCCAGAACAGAAAATGCTGTGGAAGCTCTTGACCTTGGGTTTCTCTTCCCACACAAAAGAGTTAGAGAAGTAGGAATAAAAATGCTCCGGTTCTTCAGGCAGCTTCACTGTAGATTTGGCCATTATGTTCCCTTTGACAAGTAAATGAAACTCTGTCCTCTATACCTACCCCATTTCCTACATGCATACTCTCACATAACCCTCCACACACACACATTCAAAAAACATATACTTAGTATTGTTATTGTTATGTGCCGTCGAGTCGTTTGCGACTCATAGTGACCCTATGTACAACAGCCCTAAACCCTGCTCTATCCTGTGCCAATCGCACTACCTGTGACACACCCATCCCAATTTCCCCAGCCACTAAATCAATCCACCTCGTAGAGGGTCTTCCCCTCCTGCACTGTCCCTCGACCCTCCCAAGCATGATGTCCCTCTCCAAGGACCTGTCTCTCCTTACAACATGACCAAAGTATGTCAGACGAAGCCCCAGAATCCTTGCCTCCAAGGAGTAGCCCGGTTTAGCACTCTCCAGGATGAATCTGTTTGTTTTTTTGGCAGTCCATGGTACATTCAGTACTCTTCTCCAGCACCACAGCTCAAAGGCTTCAATTCTCCTTCTATCCTCCCTAGTCATTGTCCAACTCTCTGATGCATAATAAGTGATTGCAAAGACCATGGCCTGTATCAGACGCACCTTAGTCTCCAGAGACACATCGTTGCTCTTGAGTACTTTAGAGAGGTCCCTACCAGCAGACTTTTCCATCGCAATACGTTTTTTTATTTCCTGGCTGTTGGTGCCAAGAGTGTTGACCGTGGAGCCGAGCAAACTGAAGCTGTGAACAATCTCAATCTCTTCACCATCCATCTTGATGCTGTCAATTGGTCCAGTGGTGAGAATCTTTGTCTTCTTGACATTGAGCCTCAGTCCATACTGAAGGCTGCGTATACTTAGTACCAACCATATTCCAAGTTAAGAGCCCTGGTGGCATAGTGTGTAACGTACTGGTCTGCTTACCAAAAGGTCAGCAGTTTGACTCCATCAGCCTCTCCATGGGAGATACATAGGCAGTCTCTGGTCATAATGATTTATAGCTTCCAAAACCATGTAGAGTTGAAACCAGCTTGATCTCAGTGGGTGTATGTCCCACATATTTCTAGGCTAAGAATATAAAGATGAGTAACTTGCTCCTTAATGTCCAGTTGCTTACTGTCTGTTATGCAGTAGATAATCACTGGTTTAGTGGTAAACGACTGTGATGATTAAGAAAGACAAAAAAGATATTGGTCAAGTCTTGCAACAACAAGAATTTGGAACATCATCTTATCAGCAAGAAACCAAACCAAACCCACTGCCATCAAGTTGATTCCAAAGCGTACCAACTCTATAGGATGGTGTACAGCTGCCCAATAGAGTTTCCAAGGTTGTACCTCCTTATAGAAGCAGATTGACACATCTTTTTACCATGGAGTAGCTGTGAGTTTCAAATCAATGATCTTTGGTTAGTATCTGAGTGTTTAACCATTGTGCTATCAAGGCTCCTTTAAAGGCAAAAAGTAGGACTAAATCTTAAGAAATTTAGCTATTTCCTAAGTATACAAACCAGAAAATGGCTCAAATGGGAGTAAGGTAAGCAAGTACCTAGAAGCAAATACAATTTGCAGTATTAGAAACTGCAAATCATTTAGAAAGTCGAGAATATAGCTTACAAGGGAGAGGTAGCAAAGTCAAAGCTGGAGAGGTGGGCGTCACAGGAGCTGTGTCTGATTCCTCAAAGTCTCTGAAACTTCAGTTTCTCTATCTCGTACTAGCCTTCTTGGCCCCATCATTAGAGATCTTCATTTAACTACACCAAAGCCTTCTAAGGCTGAACTGTAGCCTTTGAAAAACCAAAATTTGCTACCTTACCTATCAGTCACACTTAGACTCCCAAATGTAGGAAGAAAAGTGTTGGACTTTTCTAGGCTACGGGAAGCTAGTCTAGAAAGAGTCTGTTTTTAGCCAATGGTCAGCATTTTCTGACTAAGCCAATAGAAAGTTTGAGAAGTTCTCTCCTTTCCCCTACATCAGCCTCTAAGCAGGAGACAGTACACCCTGACTCCTTCTGCCCTTCTTACGCATTGGCTCACTAACTCCTTTCTATAGCTTTTTTTTTCCTTGAAAGCTCTTTGCCTTTCATCCTATCACTGCCCAACTTCCAATGTACTCTCCTAAAATTTTTTTTTACCTGACAGTGATGACAGTGATTTTTGTGAGTTAGTTCATAGTTCACAATCTTCTTCTGCAAACACACATTTTTAAATAACTTCTTGAACAGCTTAGCTAATTCATCAAAGAACTGACCAAACCACCTACCCCCCAGTTTCATGATTCTTTGAACAATTCTACCAACCTTCATGTCCTCTCAGCTTTAGCTCTACACGTTAGCCTTAGCCATACCTCCTATCCTTGTTATTAGTCAAAATCTCTGACTTTTTGTTTATGCCTGCACCTATGCTAGACATTGGGACTATAATCATAAATATACTGCCATGCCCTCAAGGTGCTTAGAGTGAAATAGAGGACATTATATAATGATGTCAAGAGAAATGTATTAAGTTCAGTGGTTTCACAAAACTGGAAATAGAAAAGGAAAGCATCACATACTGGTGGTGCTTGATTAGGGAATTTCGGGCAATAAAGAATGTAGGAAAGAAAATAGAGGAAGGCGTTCCATTCAAGGAGAAGATCTTGTGCCATGGTCTAAGAAGTACACAATGGTTTGTTGATGTAAATGAGGAGTGATGGGAGATGAAATTAGAGAGATAGACAGAGACCAGGTGATGGAAAGTTTGTGGTTTGGATTTTATGGAGGAAAAAAAAATAGTATCTTCTAGTTTTTGAACAGTTATTCATTTAACTCAATTGAATTGTTACCTAATACCACATATGAGGTGTTGCTTTTCCTCCTTTGGATATCCATTTATCCTTTTCATTTTGTTTCCTCTCAGTCTTTTCCTCCATTTCTCTTCTGGTCACACTATGGTATTTCATGTTCCTTAAGTTGAACAATGACTTAAGGATGACTAAGAAGAAGAATTGATGTCTCTGAAATGTAATGTTGGTGAAAGGTATTGAATATACAAATCTGTCTTGAAAAAAGTACAACTAGAGTGCTCCTTAAAGACAAAGCTGGTGAAACTTTATCTTACTTGATTTGGGTATATTTTCAGAAGGAACCAATCATTGCAGAAAGACATCATGTTGGGAGAGGTCCAAGCTCCCCAAAACAGAGGAAGACCAACAACAATAATAGAATACTGGATGATCTGTGTCTAGTCAGATAAAGAATTGTTCTTCTGTGATAGTACATTTACACACACACACACACACACACACGTACATTCATTCCAAAGATAGCTCGAGCTTAAGCTACACATGGCACTATAATTCTGAAATGCAGAAAACCTGTAGAATGATATACTGTGGTCATTTTCTAATATAGAAGGAGATCCAAAATAAACACTCTTAAAAGAAGTAAAAAAAGAAAAAACAGAGGAAGACCCTCAAGGAGATGATTGACACTGTGACCACCACAGTGGGTGTGAGCATGATGGAGATCGTGATGATGGTTCAGGACAGTTGACCAGATGGCGCCTAACAACATCACAACAACATTCTCACACCTATTCTAACAGCCTAGAATACCATCCCTCTGATTTACTACCTGGGGAAATCCTATTCATCCTTTAAGACCCAGCTCCATTTCCCCTCCTAGGTGAAATTTCCTCAGAGGTGTACAGCAAGTCAGTCCCATCCTCCTAATGTGAACGTGGAATTAAAACCAGTTGGGTCTGAAATGATGTCTTTTGCTGCCAATTCTCTGAAAATCTTTTCCTTTTCTTTTGTAGCCAAACGAGTGAATGAAGTGATCGTGGGGAGTGACCAGCTTATGGAGATCTGAGTTCTGAGGAAGTTGTATGCCTTCTCTTGGCCCCCAAAACTACAGATGTTGGCTGGCTCACCTGTTTGACTCTGTATTTATTTCCCAATAAAGAGAGCTTGCCAAAGGCATGGTGGAGACTTGTGGAGCAGTACTGAGCTCCAAATCATGTGGACTCCAGAGATACACGTGTGTGCTCATGGATCCACCTGGAGAAGTGTGTGGAACAGAATAGGACACAATAGAACAGCCCATCTCTTCAGTCCCAAGATTATTGGGCTGGAGCAGTAGGTGTCCAATGGGTAAGCTCTTGAGAGGAAACTTGCTGACTAACTGGCACAGCCAAGTCCATAAAGTATCCTTTACTAAAAAGACCTAGGAGTACTACTGCCCCTGACCCTAATCAGGCTTTCTGGATCCATAAACCTAGCTGCTGGCATTGTGCCACTGCCACACGTGCTGTTCCCTCTGCAGCTGCTTTATTTGAAGCAGCATGATCCTTGAGCTTCACTCGACTTACTTCTCCCTGCACCTTCCCTGACACAGAAGTTCCAGGCTCTCAACCTTCTACCATCACTCCCTAGTCCTTGCCATTCTCACTTCCTGTCCTCTCACTCAGTTTCTAGCCACCTTCTCCAGTTCAACTATTGTCTCCAGGAGACTTTCAAAGCAAGTACGAGGCAGTCCCTGCCTAGCCAGCAAGTCTCCACAGGTTTTAGTGGAGGCAGAGTATGAAGGAGCATCATGGCCTGGTAAGGAGAGTCTTGGTGAAGTCTGCCAACATTGTGAGGAAGAACCAAGATCCCACATGGTTTTATGTTCTGACTCTTTTCCAACTGCTCTCCTTTATATAATTATTATATAGTCTCTTCTGCTTCAGATAATTGAGGAATGAGAGTTCCATATTCAGTGCTGTCCTCCACCACTCCCCTTCAAACACACACATGCACTGTGCTCTTACCCCTCCCTGAACTGCGTTTACAACTTGCAGGTGTTTGGTGGAAGATAAAAGTGGCTCCTGGAGTGAGATTTCACCTCCTAGAATTATCAAAGTGAAGGTTTCTCTTGATGTCCTCTGTGGGTGGCAGTAATTATAAAGAATGATTTGAAATACTGGTTTCTACATTGCCTCAAAAATACTCAAGGCTCTCTAGTCAGTTGTATAATTTGGCCTGATCATTGAGCTCATAAGAGACTGGATGAGCATTCTACCCTGGGGGATCTCCACCCCCTCTGGCCTTCCTGGGAGCTCTAAAACACCACATTCCTTCCACTGGTCAGAACAGAGTTCCTAGAAGTGTGCTCTAGTCACAAGTTGAAGGGACTGAAACCACTTTGACTGAGAAAGGGGGCAGGAAGAGTGGTAGTTCCCAGAGTGAATCAAGTGTTGGCCTCCCTCTGAAACTGAAATTAAATTTGTAGGGCCCAGGTGATGCTGGGAACAGTCCAACCTCTAAAATGTTTAGTTTTGACTAAGTTACTATCTTCTCTGTTTCATCTGCAGAATGGCAAAGCTGGAGTGATGACTTTTAAAGATCTTTCCCATTCTTAGATTTAATCCTCTTTTTTCAGAAAGAGGAGAGAAGGTTGTTAGACTTTCTAAAGACTCTTCCTTCCTTAGCCACAGAAAGGGGGTGGAGCTGAGTATATTTGGAGGAAGGGTGAGATGGAAAAGGAGAAGAGGCTAGGGATTAAACTGGTCCAGAGCCCTCCTGGACCCCTTCCTGGGCTTTTCCACAGAAACCTGGGATCCCCTGACAATGAGGTGGAAGGAAAGCCTCTCCTCTGTCTTCCCCTTACACAAGGCCATCATCAGCCGCTGGCACTGAGGATAAGAGGGAAGTGGAGGAGGCAGGGTAGGTGAGGACTCCCAGAGGACAGCCTTGCCAAGCTTGAGTCCCACCTGGAAGGAGCCCCCAGCTTCTGTTTCCAACCCCAGGACTGGCTGGGTGCTCATGATGCTTTCATTTTTCTTCTCTTTGTTCTATGTGTCTATATGAGGCAGGGACAGTTTTTGTTGCCTTTTGGCAGTAGCAGCAGTGGGTTTGATTATGAAATACAGTGAGCAACTGAAAACTAGCTACTCTCCATGGAATAGAAACCAGTATAGATATGGCCAGCCTACCTCTCCCATCATGAAGGAAGCAGAGGAAGGAGGATGGGTTCCTTCAGTGCCAAATCCGCATTCTGGGGAGGTGTTGAGGCTCAAGGATCTGGGAACTTGGCAGGTCAGGCAAAATTTGATGACTACTACTCTAGGAACTCCTTTCTCAGTAACACCTCATTCCTACCTGCTGGCAAGAGCTCCTCGAGGCAGGAAGGGGACTGTCTGCCAAGATTGTCCTTTTTTTTCTTTCCAGGGCCAGAAATAAAACTTTCTGGTCCTTTACTCCATTACTATTCCTATCATCCTTCCATTCCTAGTAAGGAGAGAGAAGAAAAGTCTTCAGCTGTAGCCCCAAGAGCAATCTAGAGATCTTACAAACTAGTTTTGGGGCTGTTTTTGCTTTTGGAGAGTTTACAAGTGGTACACTGTCTTTATCCTATCCAGCCATCTCTACCCCTAAAGGAGGAGTACTGTAACCCAGGCCTTTGTATGCTGCTTTCTAAACAGTTAAATGTGTCTGAGGGAAAGGGGGAGGGGGCTTGTGGGAAAGACCACCCAGATGGAAAGTCTAGAAAACGCAGTTCTGGTGGAGCCACTGGGGAGGGAAAGAGTCTAAGCAGGAGAACATATTCTGCTGGAGGCCAGGCAGCCTCGGGGTGGCTTATCCTCCACTGAGCCATCTGCCAGTCACCCAGGAGGACTGTAGCAAGGTTTTTTCTACCACATAGAAATGGTAAGGTGCTGCTTTGGCTCTTGGTCTGTCTCCTCCTTCTCAAGGTAAAAGGGTCATTCTCTGACCTCCAGTTGTAATCTCTAGCACCAAAGGCTCACCAGGTAGGTACTGTTGGCCTGGAGCTGCTGTCTGAAACTGCTACTGGGAATCAGAAGACTAATTTGTGCCTTACTTCCAACACACCTTTGGGAAGACTCCAACACTAGCCTATTGGCTAGGAGGCTAGCATTTCGAATACTCAGGGACTCCTACCCACAGGGCATATATGTTCCAAGGCATAATTCATAAACAATATATGAGGGTGGAGTGCTGCCCATGGCCCCACCCCACTCGGGAAATACAAGAAGTCAGCTAAGAAGAAAGTGAGTGAAATCCCCAGAGAAAGGACATGGAGAGGGCCAGTCCTGGTACCTACACAGATTCCTCCTCAAACCTTCCCCTTCAGACAGCCTGGTCACTTTCATAAACACACACATACACACATGAATGGTGGGTAGGTGTACCTCATTTTTGCTAGAGTTGTTTCTTAACCACTGTATTCTCTAACATTGTATCAATGTCATGGATAATGTAACTTGTCCAAGATCACATAAGCAGTACTTGTCCACTGCTGTCAAGTCAATTCCAACTCATAGTGATCCTATAAGACAGTAAAATTACTCTAGGGTGTTTCCAAGGCTCTAAATCTTTACAACTGTTGACTTTGAAACTGTCACCAACTTCATCTTACTTGACTCCACAATCAATACATTTGGTACCAGCAGTCAGGACATCAGGAGACATACTGCATTGCATTGGGAAAATCTACAGTCAGGGACCACTCCAAATTACTGGGGAGTGATGATGTTAGTTTGAGGACCAAGATGTACTTTATTCAGACCATGGTCTTTTCAGTCACTTGCTGTGCTTCTGAGAGCTGGTCAATGAATAAGAATGACAGGGAGGAATTGATACCTTTGAGTTGTGGAGTTGGAGAAGAGTACTGAATATCTCATGTATTGCCAAAAGAGCAAGCAGGTGTCTTGGAGGCAAAGATGATAAAGCTTCATTTCACATACTTTGGGCATATTGCTAGAAAAATCTCTGTAGATGTTCATTGAAATGAAAAATAAATAAATTAAAATTTTTTTAAAAAAAGCTATTTCTTGAAGAGGGACATCGTGCTTGGAAAGGTTGAGGGCCAGCAAAGGAGAGAAAGACTCTCAACCAGATGGATTGACACAGTGACTGCAATTGTAAGTCTGTCTGCAATTGTGAGAATGGTATAGGATAGGACAGGGTTCAGATCTGCTGTTCACAGAGTATGAGTCATACTGAACTCAACAGCACCTAACAACAACCTTAAAGACATTCTCCAAATGATTGATAGGAAGATCAGGGGGAGAGGAAAGCTTTATAATATAATAATAAAGTGGAGGATATTGGTCAGATGTGTTAGAGTAATGAGTTTATTGGAGAATCTTTTTTCTCTTTCCCAAATTGTACTAGGATATTGACTTCCCTCATCCTCTGCCAGTCAGGTCTACTAATCAGTCATCTTAGCAGAAACAGCATACTCAAAATGATTCATTGAGGAAAGTATAGTAAAGGGAATATTCCATCTATTAAAGAACCCTGGTTGTGAAACAGTTAAGTTCGTTTTTGTACACTGAAAGGCTAGTAGTTTAAACCCAAGTGACTCCAGAGGAGAAAGATTTGCCAATCTCTTCCAATAAAGGTAACAGATGTAGTTCTACTCATTCAAAGTGGGTCACTGCATTTAAAATTGACTCAACAGCACCTAACAACACAGTACAGTGTCTAGTTACGGAGACTTACCTAAAAGCAAAGAAACCAAAACCTATTGCCATAGACTTGATTACCACACACAAGGACCCTATTGGACACAGTAGAACTGCTCAGGTTTTCTACAGCTACAAGTCTTGGGACTTGTACCACACTGTACTGCAGATCTTTCTCAGCAGCTGAATGTTTTAACCACTAAGGCACCAGAAATCTTAAACAAATTCCTGTCATAAATGCCATATCAAGTACTATGTATTTTAAGGAGCATGACAGTGTTAGGGGGCATTGGTGGCTCAGTGGTCTAATTCTTCGAGTTTCCCATGCAGGAAATTCCATTTCAACTCCCAGCCAATGCATCTCATGCACAAGCACAATACTTGTCAATGGAGACTTGCATGTTGCTATATAGAATGCTGGCCAGATTTCACCAGAATGGAAGACGGTCTGACAATCTACGCCCAAAAACCAAGCAATGAAAACACTAGGTGGTCAGATCTGCAACTGATCATGAAGACGGCCCAGGACAGGGCAGCATTTCCTTCAGTTGTACCTTGAGTGAGGCCAACTCCAAGGCAGTTAACAACAATGAGCACAAAAAAAGAAGGGACTGCGCACCAGCAGGGAAGAAGTAGGGCTCAAGGAAGACGTCAAAAAGTGACAGATACATGAGTTTTGAAAGTTATCTGCTGGACAAAGAAACAGCATAGTAGTGTTTATGAAATTACAAATAAATAAACAAGGCTAAGAGAAACATTGGGGTAGGTGTGAGCAGAACTATGGAAGAGAAGGCTATGAACCCAGCAGCTCTCAGTCT